ATGCAACCTAACTCCAGAGTCTCTGCAACACTTGCTTGAAATTGGAGGTGCCATCGGACCCGGATAAGCACATCGAGCATTTATATATGGCGCTCTACATAAAGAACACTGCAGCACCTAGGGCTATATAATTCAAGTGGGCAATAATAAATCAATTAAGTACAGTATTTAATTTATATTCAAAAGAAATTCAAAAGAGATAGAACCTCCACTAGAATGGAACATATACAAAGACACACAGTACATTATGGTACAAACTTGCATTGAACTTCATAAAAAAATATGTATTTCATCCGAACAATTTAAATTATTAAATGTAACTTATCTTTTAAATAAACTCTCTTACCTCACATCAGCTAAAGGGGGAACATAGATTAAGTGTTTAGTGCAAACAAAGGTACATGATTCAGGGGCGGATCCATGATTTTGAAGAGGGGGTTCAAAACGTTTCCAAAAATACCCAAAATGAAAGGGAGTCCGGGGGTCCTCCCCATGGAAAATTTCCCCCTTGAATCCGCCACTGTATGGGGAATCCTTAAACGCTCAGGTGACCTAGGGTTTTAAAACAAATACCGTATAGGCCTATACTCACGTATAAACGAGGCTTAAAATAGCAAACTACGATCGAAAAAAGGGGACATTCAGATTTTAGATTTTTATATTTATATTCATGTTCGTCTTATGTGCGGATGTTCGTCTTATGTGCGGATCGTCCGTAAATCTGGTTTTCTACTAGGCGAATTTATTCACGCGAATCCAAAGCGTCGGCTTATGCACATGCGCATTCACATTCCTATCGGAGTTTTTGAGAAGCGAAAAAATGCGCAACCAATCAGAGCTCAGGAAGCGAGCCGACTCTTTGATTTGCGCGATTAAATTCGCTTAGTGAAAAACCAGCTTAACACGCGAACTTACTACTGCAATGAAGCAACTAAATGTTGTATCAATGAAAGCAATTTTAAATATGGGAAAATACGATTTTGGTGGTGAAAATTTATAAACTCATAAAATGGTATTATTTGGAAGATTACCCTTGCATTTGGCTCCATTTATCCAGCTAGACGCAGTATACAGGACCACAAAAAATTAGGTATTCCGACCATGAAACAGGGAGTCGTCTTATACGCCAGACATACAAATATCAACCAAAAATCTTCTAAAACTCGGGGGTCGTCTTATACACGGGTCACCTTATAGGACCTACGCGAGTGTATACGGTATTATTACGGAACCCCTGCGGAAGTTCGGGTTCCCGTCACATTTTAAACGGTTGGTTGTAACAATAAACTCGCAAGACTGCTCGCGACTACTAGATTCTACAAGTGCGTGGTTGGCTGGGTTGTTTTGTTCGGAAAGGAAAAATTTTCTCTGTGAATTGATTCTCGAACGAGATAAAGAAAGCTCCCTAATGACTCAAGCTACTGTACACCGTTTTTATATTTTTAATAAAACCAATTTCTTCTAATTTCAAATAGGTTTTCCCCTGATTTTGTGATAATTCGTTATCACGCAAGTGCTAAATGCGTGACACATTTATGACCTCGCATGTGTTTTGCAAAATGCGTTTCATCCAATATCACTTTGAAGTGATGCGTGACGG